CTACGGCGTGTCCTAACATCGAGGCCAGGGGCAGTGACGCGGGCAGGTGACAAGCATCCCGGCCACCAAGTGACCAGCCATGGTAGAGTATACTTTGGGTCAACACAAGTAGACTATACTGCATTCTCTAGCCGTGGATGGTTATGTGATCGTCAGGATATCCTAATAGTTGTGCGTTAGGCGGTACTGCTGTTGTCGCCCTCCAACGCCATGGTTGATGTATCGCTCCAATGCCATGAGTCGATATTTTTAGGTCCCTACAACGTGTCCGGGGTGGATGTCGTGGCGCTTATAGCAGCGGTAGCTGTGGTAAGATCACATAGCTCAGCGGGCTGTAAAGCTTACGGGTATTGAGGAACACTCAGCTAGCCGTCGGAGCGTCAGGCGCGGGAGATAATGGACCACACGTGTCCCAATCGACGCGTTCTAGCCTAATGTATTGACAACTTTTGTCGAAGGCCAACTCATGTCGTACCGAGGCACCATTCGAAAGACGGTACGGACGAATCGCTCAGATGCCGTAATCACGAATAGACTTGGCCAGAAGAAGACTACTTCAAAGACCCGGGTATCTGAGAGCCACGTCGAGCTGCCTCGAAGCTTTACACGTTCCAGACTGTCGATTACCAAACTTACAATTGTAGAGTTGTCAGCGATGGAGTGCTTTGGCTGATCCGTCTGGTCAGTCGTCAATGAGAAGATCATAAATCACGCTGACTCAGGTTCAAGCACGATACCGGTTTTGCTGGTCCCATTACGGTAACACCTTCCTGCGACATCTATCACGCGATTTATGATCGGTGAACGACACTGTCTCCTGATGCGGCGCATACATCGCTTGCATCGTCTACTTCGATCGGGACGCCCGTATCCACTGACCATCGTCTTCCTGTAAAGCTGTAGAAGCAGGGCGCGATCGATATTGCGCGCGTACCGTTCGGGGCGCATGACCTTCATTTGTAGCGACCGAAGCGTAGCTCGAACACAAGGTTAAGTTGGAGCGCGAGGATAGGTTAGTGCACATACGGAAACGATGGCTGAGACACGCTTGCAGGCTAGTCTCAGCCTCAATCGCGCGCGGAGTGGGCAATGTATTTACCCAATACTCATGTATTACGAGCCATTATATCATGGTGTCTATCACGCCTGTCCGCAACGCTCTCTTTCGGCACTGACGGAAGACTACTCAGCATTGACATACGCAGAGAACAATAAAGTCTATTGTGTTCAAGGGAGGCGCAGGAAGGCCCGGATTCTGACGTTGTTTACGATAGAGCGGTACTTTGGATGCTCCAGACGTTTGCAGACACCAGGACAACTTTGTGTACGCTGCAAATTTTCACAGAGTGTCTCGAGACTGACTTTCGCCAAGTAGCTCATCTACGACATGCGAAGCGCGTTCGTTAACCTCATTGCCAGCACTGCCGAAAACAAGAAGCATTTACGAATCATGTGAATCACAGCGAAACGAGCTTTCCGGCAGTGCGCATTTTCAGCAGACGAAGACTGTTCTTCGATGATTCGAGGCGACGAAAGGAAAGATCGTATGGCCGCAAAGACGATAATACCAGGGCCTGCTGAACCATGAGCTACAGAGATCGTTGTGCTTGAGCGGAAGGCGAGGGAGCGAAGCCTCGTGGCATTCTCCATCATTGGGACGCAAAGACGCAGATATTGTGAACGAGGGTCCAGAGCTAGCCACGAACAAGTTCCAGGTAGGCCAGGCACAGTATCTGGCGGGTTGAATTCGATATCAGCCCTGGAGAGCAGCAGTATCACGCTTGTAGCGGTGGTGGGTCTGCGAGAGATGACCATATATTGTCCGCCTGGTGCGCTTCACCACAGTGTGTCGTAGTCAAACAGTAGCCGTATCGCAAACTCCGTGCAAGGATTGTACAATACTGCGGAAGGAGCATAGGAACACCCTCCCCAGCTCACTTAGTGATGCCCTCGAAGTGTCCTCAGCAGTTATGCGACCAATCTTTAGCAAAGATGATGATTGCCATACCGGATATTGGTAGATCAGCCTGTATTGCACGCGGAGAATTTGTTACTTGTGTATCTTTCGTCCCGCCTGCCTGGCTGGTACAGGACTGGTCGTCCGGGCGCTTTGTCTGGCCTTTGCCGCCTAGCTTCTTCATCCTCAACAACGCAACCTCCACGTCGAGACCGCCGCGCTACAACTACATCGATATACATTTCGCCGAAATTTCGAGCACTACGAGGCGTCATTTTCCTGGCGACTCGTTCGAATCAGTGTCGTTCGGCTCTGAAATCGGCCTTGGGCCACGCGGCGCTCTCCCTGACGAGGGCGGCGATTCTTAAGCGAGTGATGCCCGCGGCGAAGACGATCCAACAGTTGCACCGAATAACCACGTCCTTCGCCAGCTTAGTGTACTGCGGAGAGAAATGGTCCATAATTTCCGAAATCTACATGACGGACTGCGGGACACAAACCGACGTTTGGACGAACATCGAGCGGAAACGAACAGGCGTTTCGAAGAGCAGCGAACGGACAGAAACAAACGTTTCAACGAGCAGCAGACGTAGTACTCGCAGCTGAAAGCTCAACAAGGGACTATGAGTGCACAACAACAAATCATGAATGCGCAACAAGAGAGCATGAAGTCACAGCTAGGAAGCATAACGGCACAGCCAGGAAACATGAAGGCATAACAAGCCAACCGAGGAGCGAGTCATATCAATAACCCGATCCAGCCAGTCGGGCGTGATGACGGTACACCAATCCCGGCCGCGTTGTCTGATCGCGACAAGCACGTTCACGAATTCCTGCGACTCAAACGTCGAGACAGGTGGCCAATGCTCGCTGCTCTCCTTCGCTTCTACGCCTCAGATTCATGGCCCGTATGGGGCTTGGTATCATTGTCACCTGAAGATGAGAGTGACGTGGAAGAGCCGCTTGTGGTACATGAGACCTTGGACATAGCGACCATTTGGGCACCGGAGATCGCTGTACAGGAGCTCGCGAGGTATGTCGGACTGGATTACGACAAGGTCATGATCAATGTGAAAGAGTATGAGAAGGTACAGGAGAAACGTGCGGCTTATGCAAAGCGGACAGTGGCAGATGATCCGATACCGTCCAAAAGAGGAAGACTCGAGACCGTGGACCCACAAACAGCGCGTACGAAGGAAGCCGATACGGCGCGGAGTAAATTGCCATCTTCTGATGTCTTGTCGGGCGAACTAGGCTGGGACACCCGCCGTACAGAAGAGCGAACCCCCGAGTCGCGACGAGCTCGTATCCGTGATGCCTAACACTATCGGAAACCGACGCTCTCTCCAACCTCAGTGGCGAGCTCTGATGGTATTGCAACACGCGCGAAGCCGTGACTTTCCGGTACTTCAGCGTTGGTATTCAGAACATCATCAAATAACATCCGCCTACGGCTTTGTAAGCAGCTTTCATGACAACGTGGTTTATGGTGGAGGAAGCAATAGAGCGGAGGATTGGTCATTTCCTACCTCGGACGGATTCTACCTTCAGAAAACGAATCCATGATGATTACATGACCCCAATGACGGTGGAAGAGTCTGTTTGATGACAAAGTTGGGTTTGCCCAGCAAGAAGAGTTAGTGGAGATGCGAACGGAGACGAGTAGGTGCGCCAACCGGAAGATCAGCGCATACTGCCGAGGATTCGGCGTATATACATCGGTTTCCCCATTTCGAGTGTTCCCCATTAGGTAGATATGTGTGATCAATTGATGAGTACATGTTCAACCCCTTAACACGTGTCTGCCTTTAGCATTGTAAGCCCTAAGACGGTAGCATCTAACACCACTGTAAAACTCAGAGAGAAAGTTGATATGAAGTGACTAGTTAAAGCAAAACTATATAGAACCATACCGATTAAATTATTCACCAGAATAAATGTAGATAGAACTTATATAAATGGGAAATATATTTGACCTCTTTTATCGTTTATTTGACTTGTAACTTTACTATGTATAGTAGCGTAGATTGATTTTTAGTTATATAGATCAAGAATTTAAAATAACTTTGCCGTTATTAGTAGACTTTAAACCTAGTACCAAAACTATGTATCCTCCTATAGCTAAATATAATCCTATATTTGTAAGAGATATAGCTAGGTTACCTAATACAAGAGCATTTAAATTTATCAAATCTCTTATTTTAGACTAATCTAAGGGACTTATTATGTTAAGCATTTTGTTCTAATAAATAGAACAAATTATTAATTATTAGGGTTAAGGTTTTAAGATAATGCCGAAAAATTATAGGACTCTAAGTAAAAGGTGCTCAGGTAACGCTTCTACCCTGTTGAAAACATTAAACAAAACTACAACGATTTTATAAGATTAAACGGGGGCAAAGCGAAAATGCACCTGATTTGGTATGCTTCTGCGTCAAATTTAAGGCGCATTTTTGCCGCCCGTCTCTCTCGATACGGACTAGCAGACAGCTCCTCTTAGGATCGGGCCGCGGCGCACGGGCGTCCATGCGCGAATCCTTACTCGATGAGTGGCACGAGTCTCATCACATGAATGTTCTTATCCGTCACGGGCCCCGAAGCTTCCAGAGTCCCTTCCATGGCGTCTCAGCGCGATCGTGCGGCCATGTGTGCTGCTCATGAGACTACAATAATGGCCCCTTCCCCCGACCTCCCGAATTTGAACATCTTTGATTCCTGCCGCCTTGCTCTTCTTCGTCGTTGTCATCCAGCCACCCCCGGTCATTGTTGGTGGACCGACCGCCTTCCTCGCTGACAGAGCCATCGTGTTGCTCTCTGACTCTCGACAAGTAACGCGGTGATGCGGAAGCCGGCGCGCGAAGGAACTGTCTCGGCTGATGATGAAGGCAACACGCTGGAGACCTCGAAAGACTCGTGCAAGAACCCGGCGGAGTACTACAGCCGTACGGAAGAGAACTTCGATGCCACCAGACTGACACAAAAGAATCTACGCGAAAGAGAGCGAGTCTCTCCAGGACTGGATCATACGGCTGTGGTTCGAGTGGTACTACACCGCGACAAGTTAGCAAATCACGCTACTGACCTTGCGTCATATCAGATACTGCCAATTCCGAGACAAAGATCCCCTCGAAACGCTGAAGCTCATTCCCATCCAGATCCTGCACAACTTCTTGCACTGGATGTTGCAAAAGAGGAGCGACAGTCTCCGTGCGGCGAGCACGTTGCAAACATACTGGAACACGTTCTGTCTGGTGCGGAAAAAGGAGACAGGATGTCACACGATCGATCCTCTCATCAAGAGCCAGATGCACGGTGTATGAGCCTCCTTGTGTGAATCTGCGAACACTGAGTATGCTCACTCTGACCGATCGCAGGTCCGGCAACGCCTGGCTGAAGAATTCAAACTGAACACGGAGAAGAAGCTAAAGCCCATCATGCGCGCCGAAGACGAGTTCGAGCTCTTAAAGACATTCTGGAGCTCACCAGAGTTCACTGTGGAACATGAAAGACTCCGTGTGCAGCTCGCGCTGCTCTTGCAGCTCGCGGGCATCACCGGGAACCGGCCAGGCGCCCTCGTGGGTCTTCGCTACGAGCACATCAAGGTTACCTTGCTTCGCAACCCCTCGGGGAGCGAGTGGCCGAGCGTGCTAATTGAGTTGATGTTCAAGAATACCACGGGTTATATTGGTCTAAAAATGCGTTCGTACACTCACAGCGCTTCCATTCTGTGTCCTACGCTGAAACTGCATCGCAGATATACGTGCGGTATTCCTGATGTGCCGAGCGAGCCATGCCTTCTCCTCTGTCCCCGGATCACGCTTCTCAGCTTGTTGTTCTCTGATAAGGCGTTTGCAGCACCTGGCCTTACTCACCCGAAGAAACAGTTCGAGCTGAACCAGCAAGAGCTGCCGATCAAGGGTTCCATGACGGGCGTGCCTCTGTTCCGAAGGTTAGAGTCAACCGTCCACGGACTTCGAGTGTCATCTATAGCTGCAGCCACCGATAACTGGCGGCGCGGAAGCATGGCAACACTGGGTACCGTGACCGGATTTGAGCTTCCAGTGGGCCCGCATTGCTTTCGACGTGGCAACGGCGAAGCTTTAGACAACAGCAGTATGTTCCTGCAAGATTCATAAGACCGCTGGGAATGCTGACTGCTCTAGGCCTGATCAGTGATTCCCAGCGCAACCTCATCCTACAGCATGCAAGCTCAGCAGTGTTTCAGCACGACTAGCTTTCACGCTACATCACGCAAGACACGCAAGCAATCTATCGCGGTCTAGCTCCACAGATTGCTGTGATAAGGGCTGCTAGTGGTATGACACGTTCGATCGATCGGCGCCGTCCGCGATGCCTGAACGAGGATCAGCTCGCGGAAGTCTGCCGGCATCCTGAGGTGAAGCTTCTGCTCAGAGTGCGCACCCGCTTAGCGAAACGCATCCGTGCCGAGTACGGCACCATTTCGAGGACAAAAGGAACGAAAATTTACAAGGACTGTAATCAAGCGTATCGCGCGCATCAAAGCAAGAAGAAGGCAGTCGCGAAGGTCGTGCTCGCCCAAGTGAAGGCCAGCTGGCGGAAGCGACAGCCGTTGCTCGACATCGCTAATCAACTCGATGGTGGAGCCACCCAAAAATTGGACCTCGAAGGCGGAGCAGTGGATCCGTTGGCGGTTTTGTGCGACGAACGTTTCCGTGCCTTTACGCCGCTCTTCACTTTCGCCACGACTGACCCGAGTGAGGAGTGTCAACGCCGTTCCGAAGCCATCGAGGCCGTCACAGCTCTGAGCAGACACCAGGAGCCCAAGCTGAGAGAACTCTGTCGGACCAGGCAATGGGGCAAGAAGCACCGTGCTACGCGTACCAACATGGAAAGCAAAGCTGCCACGGAGCTATTTCCTGTCGGATATCGAGCCACACAATGTATCTTCTGCTTGGGGAATGCTGAGCTTTCAATTGAGCAGCGGATGAAATTCTTTTGAAATCGAGATGGGCTCAAACGGCACTTCCATCGGAAACACCTCCGTCGTTATCCTGATGAGCGGTCGATGACTTGCCCACACCCCAAGTGCGACGCAATACTGGTCAACAAGACGCATTTACAAAATCACGGTGCTGTGGTACACAAAACGTTTACCTAGGTTTTATGGTCGTCAATTTTTGGGGGCGCGCTTAGATGCTGATTCTTCATGCGTAGCGCCAATACCATTCAAGCTTGTTCGTTACGGTAGAAACATCTTCTCCTTTTTAGGTACTTGGAGGTACTTAAAAATACGCTGGCTCTTGGCAGTCAAACTTTACCATTCTCTCCCAATGTTGAATCACACCAACGACTTAGCTTCAGCTTCCTTCCACCACGAGTCCGCGTTCTCATGCACTCCTGGACCCTTGACGTTGGCCGCGTGTCTGATGGAAGCTCTTTGCTCATGATCAATTTGCCAATCTCGATTCCGTGTCGCGAGGGCTTCTCTCAAATTCAGAAGCTGAGAAGGAGCCGTGAGCGAGCCCATCAACGTCGGATAGCCCAAAGGGAGCACATCGCCACGGTCAACCTGCCAAAAGTGCCACGTCTTGCCATACAGACCTGCAACTTCCTTCATTGCCTCCGTCTCCGCCTGGTCCCATTCATCCTGTGGTTCAGCCGCGGGTTTGGGGAGCGCGAGCATGCCGGATTCGACTTCGAACTCGTGAGAATGCCAGAGCTTTTGCTCTTCGGCGTCTAGCTTCTCGTATACGTGCTTAGGAACCATGTATTCGACGCCAATGAGACGTGCGTCTTTGGCTCCGGAATCGTAGATTAAGCATTGGCGGAGATCTGCCACTCTGGGTGAGCGTTGCCACAGTATAGTGATTAGGATTGCCGAATCTTACCTTTACGCACATGCGCGCAGAAATGATGCGCCTCAATGGCCCTGGTCTTCCCTTGTCGAGCTTCTTCCGTGTAGATGTGGAGGGCATTCAGGAATTCGCAAATGTTGTGAAGTGGCATGAACTCAGGGTTTGGTGCCATCTTTGCTAGGTTTATTCGGCCTGGTCGTAGTATCTCTACCCTTCAACATGGCGTGTCTCGGACGCTTTATAAGGCTCGCAGATCCCGATCCGTTTTTTCGTTCATCGCGTGGGTTTGGCCACACGCAGGCAGCATATGGAGTCGCCGAATGAAGAGCGTCGCCGAATGAAGAGCGTCGCCGAA